AGTTTTAAATTGCCGAATAATTTTTTAAACCTACTGACTGATATACTTGAATTCAAGGTTTACAAACTGCGCGCTGTGTACATCCTGTTTAAGGAAAAGTAAGTTTTCACCTACGAGTTGAAGAAGTCTCATAAAATATTGCAACTCATGTGGAACATGCTGCATAAAATATAGGCAGCATTAATAAATTGACGGATGTGATGTATAATGAATGGACACCTCACAATCGTAAAAAGCTCATAATTAGAAACTTTTTTTAAAACCGAAAGATACCCCTTCTTTAGGTATGAAATTTAAAGAAGGCGCAATTTGCTGCCAAACGACTACAAGAAATATTTTTTTCGTATGTTTTCCATAAAATATATTTGAATTTATAAAGGCGGTCAAAATCAATCATACAATGCACACCACTTAAGTAGCCACTTATTACAGTACATACTTTATATCAGCGGTCAGAAAGAACCTGGTTGAAAAGCCGGCACCCTGACGTGACCAAAATATGTTGAGATTTGGCTGTACGATCGTCATTATTACAAACATACGTAATTAATATGTTTGAAACGAAAACGCATTGCAGACTTCCGGGTGACATTTCATGAGATAGGGAATCTACTGTATTTCTGCATGCAACTAAGCAAATAAATAATATTGCCAACAAACACAAAGGAGACTATAATAGCCATTGCTAGATTGTTAGCCCACATCAGCCAGCCATACCCAACTTGAGATGTTGCGGAACCTGAAATTTATATCCACGACCTGTTAGCTAGAAATCCAACCTTCTAATCACTACGCCATGTGCTTGCCACTGTGCGGCTGCCGGCCGGGCTCGAGAAAGCGAGAACCCCAAGGCATGACGGGAGGTGCGAGTCCTATAAAATCGGTGAGCACTCAACTACTAGAGGAGCAAATGCCTGCCTAAAGTCGGTTTTTCTTTAGGGCATCGGGAAACTTCCAACAGATACCAAGAAGGGCCCGGGTAGGAGACGATGGCAACTATGGGCCAGTCGTAAACACTCAATTTCGGACAGTCGTTCCCGGACACCACCCCCACTAATTATCCCCTAACGTTGCCGGGCGGGTCCTGGTGAGAGGAATTACAGTTATTAAATTGACCCAGTTGTGAAATACTCGCGGCCTCGGTGGCAGGGTAGATTTTTGCACAGCCAACGCTCTACCATTGAGCAACGAGGCTCACCGTGGGCCGTGAATTCAATCACACTTGGGTCGATTTACCCGCTCAACCTACTGATCTGCCAATCCCACCTAACAATTAAATGAGCATAGTCATTCTGGTAGATTCCATACGATCAGTAAGTTGGGCGGGCAAATCGACCCAAGTATGAGTGAATGCACGGTAAGCCTCGTACCTCAGTGGTAGAGCGTTGGCTGCGCAAAAGCCTTTCCTGCTATGTGGGTTCGACTACCACCGGGGCCGCGAGTGTTTCGCAACTGGGTCAACTGAATTACTCAGATCCGCCAAATCCTCCTAATAATTAAAGTTATGACAATAGTTTTAAACAAACGGCTGCAACGTGTAAAAGGCGCGCTCTGCCTGCGACCAAAAGGATAAGAAAGGAAGGCACTAGATTCTCCTACAGATGTCGAGCAAATCGAAAATGTACAGGGAAGGAAAATCGCCCACCCAATCCTCCAAGTTATCAATGGGCTCAGTGGAGGGTGCTATTTGTGGACCATTGTCTATTCGAGTTTCTTCCAAGAGCTTCTCTAAAGCCAAATCATCCACCTCAGGTTCCCTTTGTGTACGTCGGCGATGGGGTCGGAGAGACATCTGGTAGGAGCCCGACTGCAAGGCATCCGTA